AATAAAACCTTAGTCTTTATGTATATGTATAGTACATATATTTTTAGAATGGTACAATGTAGTTATTAAGGACTGGTTGTTCTTAATACAGTAGAAGAGACTTTTAAAATCAGTAGACTATAATACCTCAATATTTGTCATATATGTTGCATAAAAAGATCCTTTTTTCTAGTAAAGAATACTAACAATGTCATACTGAAGCACTAAAAAGTATAAACAATTCAACTAGTTCCAAAAAACTATTAGAGTGATAGACTTAATTTATGTATCTTATTTATTATACATGGACTTCAATGAATGCTAATGAAGCTATGGAAAATGTGCTAGGGGCTACAAGAAGTGCTGATAAACAGTAGGTCTTTTGAAGCTAAAAAGGTTCTAATAATCGTTATATGACCTTCCAACAATAGCTTCAAGCGACATGGTTTCCAAAAATTATTCCTCCACTTATCATTTATTGATTACATATCTATCACTCCTCCTAGTGAAAAATACCAATACCAACAAATGTTAGTAAAGATATATAGAATAATTTGGCTCTGTAGCTCAAAAAAGGGAGGGAAAGCATTTTCTAACCCCTTAATAACAGCTGTCCCCCACATGACTTGGAGGGAAGGGGGCCTTTAGAGACTCAGCAACATTTCCGGCTGCTAGCCAACAAATTTTCCCATAAGGATGTATTGGAACTTCCTTTTTCTTTGCAGTCTCCAGCTGAATAATGCCCATTTTCAAACTCACTCTTTCTTTTGCCAGCTTCTCCACCCACAGCAAATGTGGGTTTATTCTATTCAGTTTTCAGAGTTAGTCTGCTTAGTGGCAGATAGGCAGACAGATGAATGAGCAGACAAAAATTCTGAGTCCTTTACAAATTTTTTGCCCAACTTTCCATTGAGCTTGGAAAGAATAAAAAAGTAGGTAAAAGATATAGAACACATCTTCTGTAATGGCAGTGTCATCAGCAGGCTGAGGATTTGTCAAAATCATGACAGGTGCCTCCTGACTTTCCAATGCAAGTTTACGTTCTTATGCTTGCTTGCAATTTCACAGCATATATAACCTGTTCTCAGAATCTATATGAATAATATTCAAAGCATGGATTGGAGGAAACAAGACTGAAGTAGTAAACTAAGTACTTTACAGGCTTATCAATAATGGCAACACTGAACTTCATTAGAATGATACTAGTAACTAAGTAGAATTATATATTAAACTATAGTTAAACTAATTTTAATTGGGCTAAAAAGTGCAAAATGCAAACAATGAAACTATTTTTAAAAGAATTAAGAGCATAGTTCATGATCCAAAGAGTTTTCCATCCATAGTGGAAGATTTGATTATTCAAATCTTGCCTTTTGCAGCAACTCAAATCTTCAAAATTTGCTCTGCAAAACTTAGGTTCTTTAGTAAACCATGAAAGTAGATAACAACAAAGAAAAGGAGGGCTACAAAAATTAACCAACCTCCATATTGCACTGATAGATGTTTCTACTGGTTCATTTTATCAGCAGACTACTGGCTTTTAAATACAATCCCGTGTTTCCTTGTATACTAAAGTTCAATCAACACCTGTACCACACAAAAAGAGACTGATAATTTTGCAATTTTACAGTACCAAAAACATATACTGAAGTGATCTATATATGATATTTTCTGCCATAGATTATTCATCCTGGGAAGAATGGGCTGTTTTACATATTACAAGCATCCATGTGATCAGCACAAAAATCAATAAAAAGGGGTGGGAAAGGAAAAAAAGCAACTAGAGAAATAAAGGAAAATAACAGTAACAAAATATTGTATTATGTTTTTAGAGGACATTATTCATTCTTATTTTTGAATACTTCATTAAATTACCAGCCAAAATATTATTGATCAATCTTTCCAAGAGCCAGTTTCACAAAGAGAAAGTGAATTCATCTATGTTTCTAGTATTGAAGAGTAATATTTTTGCTGCTTCCATGCTTGATAATTCCATCACTTTTCATATCCCAGCTTTGGGGTATATAATTCAGAAGTACATTCACATATATTAACAGTATCAAACTTTGTAATATCTTACTCACGAATTTAATGGATACTAAACCATTATTAAGTAATAATGCGACAACAAAGACCCCTTACCTATTCTATACCTCAAACATGATGCTTTTAAATACTCTCTGGGCTACCCACTGTATATGAAAAAGAATATTTTGTCTCTTTTTAAGTTGAATTTTTACAATTAGCTAGATTATGCAGAAAAATGTGGGATAGAACTGTACATTTAAATAATTAAATAGGTTAAACTTACAGGGAAGCAAGAATTTTAAGCTGTTTAATAGTTATTTACAACTTTGTATGTAATTTTTGAGTTTAGAAATCAATGTAGCAGCACAAAATATAAAATCCTTGCTTGAAATAGAATACCTGTATTTATTAATAAATGTACTTTCTACATTTTGGTAAGTAAAAGCTTGAAAAATGTGGTGACATATATTCTAAGTATGTACCTATTTTATTAACCTTGAAAAAATACATTTTTCATAAACTAATATGCCATGCATTTTTTTGTGATCAGATTTCTATTTTTAATGTTAAAAAAATCCAGTAGGACATGTTATCACCAGGTGAGCAGAGCAATAACAAATATATGTTCTTTGAGAGGCTGGAACATTTAAGGATGTAGATATATCAAGTCTACAAACCTTACTTTGCCTCTCCCCACTAATCCTATTTTGCTATCGAATCTTATTGGCATGATTTAGGGTGTTCTGGAGCCTAGTAGCAGTTTTCTACTCCAGATTGAACATGTAAAGAAATCTACATAACTGTCAACAATTTAAACAACTGTACTTTTGTACTTCTTAAACTAAGTAGGTTAATAATTTTAAATTATTGCAAATTTGTGGGTGGAATACAATACAGTACAAATGAAATATTTTTTGCAATGGGACTTTCTCCTCTTTTCCTTTCTGAAAAACTAAGAGGAGAAGTCTCCTTTATTCTGTAGACCCCTAAACCTCCAGAAGAATTTTTGAAATTGCAGGGGGGAGAAGAAGGGGAAGTTGCCAACCTCCCCCTTCAGCTATCAATAGCAGTTCTGACTTCATCTGATTTTAGCTAATGTTTCTAAATTATTCTAAACTGATAGAGTGAACTACCCATAGTGATGGAAAGCTAACTTTTAAAGATTAATTATATGTGATTATATGTTATGCATAAGAAAGTACCATCCAATTCTTCAATGCAATCATATTATAAATTGGAAACTATAGATAGGCAGCTAATTAAATTATAAGTTATTGGAAACTATAGATAGGCAGCTAATTAAATTATAAGTAAAGTAATTGTCAGTCACTTTTTCCTCACAGCAATAACAAAATATAAAAATGTAATTTAGTAAATGTTGTGACACTGTTACAGAAGAATGAATGAGAGAAAATAAGATACAGCATAAAAAGAATATAGTGGAAGTGAATAAAAACAGGATTAGAGCAAATGGGGGAAGTGACTGTTTAGACCAAAAATGCAGAAAGACTATCTGAAATTTGAACTCCCCTCTCATTCCATATTATTACAAAGTTACAAATCAGCAAATCCAGTAAAAGGAGCAAACAGTAAGATAAATATACTTAAAAAGGGAAAGTAGACAGCAATGACTATACCAGTTAAACAATTAGCATGGAAATGTATATACTGTTGTTAAACCTTTCCATCTATCAAATTTCCAAATGCAATATCCAATACGATCAATATCTACAATGAAATTCTGCAGAGTGAACGGCACCAGGTAATGCAACATTAAAAATAGTGTTTAATCATTAAATTGGACAAATTTAAGTCACATATTCTTCAGAGAGTTTATTTAATTAGGCTGTTAGTATCATTATTAAAAGTGTGGAAGTTTTTCAGGAAATCTATCTACACTTTGGATTTTCTCCAAGACACCACACAGCTTCATAACTTGGTATGATTAGCCTTAGGAAGGAAACTGGTAAACCATTTGGTAAACTATCACAACAAATCATTATAAAAGAAGTCCTGCAAAATCCAAACTTTTGCTATCTTACAACTTATCCCAAACTTTTTTCAAGTTCATTAACCTCTAGCATATTTGTTCTTCAAATACAGACTGTGAGAAAAGTGTTTTTTTTCCCCATCTGCTCCTGGCCCATAATCTATATTTACACTTTAAAAAAAAAGAATATGATATGATAATTTAAGAGCGATACTACAATTACCCAAGTGAACCACCTTTATTCCTGTGCACATGTATATACGTATACCCTATATATGTACACCCCACCTAATAAAACCATAAACCGGAATGCTTTCTTTTATACTTTTAAATATACTATCATATTATATGTAGCTTTTATGTATTTGACCACACCCAAATAAAAATTAGTTCATGCTTAACATTAAAATTCAACTCTGTTTTAAAAAACGATAAAATAATTGTGTTCAGTAGGATCAGTTATGAAGAACAGAAATACAATTATATTTTAAAATAATATATTTAGATACATTTTTGAATATTGAACAACTTGTTTAGCCATACATTTTAAACCTGTTTACTTGTTTAAGTAAACTATTTTTTAACTAGTTATAAATTACTTATGTATCATAAATATTTTTAAGATGCACAAAATTGTCTAACAATAGTCAATAACTAGGAAAGGGGGCTATTTTTCACTTGTATCTATCAATATAAAATTGATAAGCATTCAGCTATTTCCTAAAATAGTTATAATTGTAGAATAATTGGATGTGTATATTTTTTACTGACTACACAGTATTCCAAGAAAAAACCCTACTTGCTTTAAAGAACAGGGCAGAATGAAATAGATTACCGTAGTACATTTACTGTTATCACACTTCACTTTTTGTTCATTATACATTCACTTCTAATCTGCCTCAAAGCTACACATTTAATTTGTAGCAACTGTGGATAAGCAAATGACAAAACATGGCAGTGTGAAATTGAAACTGGTGTTAAGAGCAAACAAGATAAGTGGTACCTGAGAAAATGCAGTTGTTGCTCAGCTTTGCCCAGCAATTCTGTTAGTTTCAGACATTCTTCCTTAGCTTTTGCAGTATCCTGCTGTGCTTGTTCTAAGCGCTGTTTGTTTTCATGAAGCAATACTTGTAATTTCTCAATTTGCTTTAAATACAAAGAGGAGTGCAGGAAATTCAGATACAATAATTGAACATAATAAAGGAAGTTAGAAAACTCACAAATCACAAAACAAGTTTACTTGACTAGATATTTATTTTCTGGACAAAACAAAATTTGAGAAACAATATTGATTATATTATGTTTACATCATACTTTTCCTCAATTCTACAATCATAACATTGGTTACATTTTTTAGAATCATATTTAACAAATAAATGTAGAATGCTCCACCAATCACTCAGATTGCAATACTGCAGCAGCTACACTTAATCTTTACTTTTTACGGCAGAATATAATGAGGTAATATAAGATATTATTCTATCTTTAGTTCATGACCACAAGATATTAACTCTTTCAATTTTTCTCTAGTCCCTTCGTATATTCTAAGCTAAAAATATATTTTTAAAAAATCTAATAAACAGTTTTATAAATGAAAAATAAACAGAATTTGACAAGTGTCAACTAATGCCAAGACAATCTCAAAATTTCATAGTAAAGACATAAATATAAGTTCCTATAATTTTCTCAGGGAAAATAACTAAAGTGAACAGATGGGCTTTATACTATCCCTCAAGTTAAATCAACTAAGGTTATGTCGGTCCAACAATAAGTGAATTAAAACATAAAGGGACTATGTTGAAAATAGTATCTCTCTACTTGCCAGATGTTTGAGTGCAAAATTTAAGGTAATATTCTATCTGTAAATCTTCACTGCATTCAAAACAGCTCCTTTAGAATTCTTATATTGCAGAGTAAAAAAAAGGAATACTCACACACACATTACTTTTATCTAGACATAATGAAGAATTGTGTAGTATATTTTGAATACTATGTTTGATCATTGACTTCTCAGCTTCAGCCATATTTGGCATTTTTTTAAAAAAAATAAATTGTTACTTTAGCTCTTTTTACAATTCATAGACATGAAAATAACTACTGAGAAGTTAACAAAAATAAATGTTACTTTTTATACCATCTCTGAGCCTTTTGACAAAGATAATGGGCAAAAGCAAATGCTAGCAAATACCACAAGGAAGCATTTTAGAGCCTTAGCAAGCAGGTCCAATGTGGATTTAATATCTCTGGATTTATTATCATTAAAGTTATGCATAAGAATAAAATGAAAAATAATACTTGAAATGCATTAATTAGGCAATATTATTATTTTATATTGTCATCATGTTGATTACCTCAAATTTGGCAAATCAATATTTTTTTGTAAATAATGTTTTCTTTAAACCATGACAAATTGAATAATAGTGTAGAAATATTAAGATGTTGACACAAACAGTATTATGAGAGAGAGAGAGAGAGAGAGATCAATAACAACAAGGTATCTGCTATAGTTATTATTAAGCAACATTTAGTAACAGGAAGTGTAGGGCAAAGAATGGAATAGAGAATTAAGGAAATCAATTGGTCGTAGCTCGTCTAGTCTTTGTTCAAGTAAGAGAAGTTTTTTAAACATTTTTATTCTATTTTTCTTTCAAATCTGCTACTGATTGTTACTCTTTAATTTTAACCTTCACTAAAACTAGAATGTAAATAAATTAAGCCAAAGTTTTGAAAATGTATAATTTATTTTAATTAAATTAATTAGAAATTATAAATGATCTTGTTCAAAATTTAAAACCACAAACCTATATCAGTGCACATTTTTTTCTCCTTCACTCTTACATGGAATATCAAACAGGCATGTCAAACTGCCGGCCCACGGGCCAGATGCATTACGCCAAAACCACACCCACCCCATTGCCGGCAATGGGGAAAAAGTTGTGATACGTTATGCGATGTCACATGACATTGCGAGTTTGACATGCCTAGAATATATATATACATTTTAGTCATAAGTACTAGCAAAAGGAGATCATGTGTTCTGCTCATCTCTTGACTACATAAGTGGTTAGGAAGATAAAAATATCTTCCAGAACTTTTAGAATATGGATTTCAGATAATTGATTTTAAGAAACCAAAGTATTTAATCTTATCAGAACAAAATCTATTATTCCCAATGTTCTATCCCACATTTACTTACTAATTCATAATTATTAAACAACTTTTAAATCCCTTCTATGACTAATAATATCATGTAAGAAAGCACTGGTTGTTAAGCCCAGGGATTCCTCAGTGTCTCACTTTAGGAAGAATCTGGACCAACTATCTTGAATGAGGCAATCTATGACTGCTTGTGACGGTTTTCTGGATGAGAAGATTAAAACCAACTATAGTGTATTTCCTTTTTCTTGAACAAGAAGTGTCTTGCCAGTGACAAGAACTCAAGCTAGTGATTGTAACATAACTGCAAATATTGTGGCATTATTAGCATGCATATTAGAGAGTGCAGAGAAGAGTCACAAAGGTGACAAGGGGTCTCATGGCTACATCATATGATAAACAGCTAAAGGAACTAGTATGTTTAATCTAATGACGAGAAGGCTCAGGGGAGATATGATAGCAGTCTTCCAATACTTGAAGGGCTACCCACAGGGAAGAGGGTGTCACTGTATTCAACTTGCCTCCTGGAGTTGTGGATGCTCCGTTGCTGGAGTTTTTCAAGAAAAGATTGGACAACCATTTGTCTAGGTTGGGCAGGGGGTTGGACTACAAGGTTCCTTCCAGCCCTATGCTATAATCCAAGCCAGAAGTTGCTAATTCAATCAGAATTTTCAATAATATTTTGCTCTTTCTGGATAGACTGTACAAGTTTGAAATCTGAAGTAACATATTATAATAGTTTCATACTTAATAGATGACTAATTTTGAAAAGTAGTGGTAGGAGACTATTACTTTATTCATATCATTTATGTTAAATGGATCTTTACAGAATTTTCCCTCATTGCTATATTCTAGTATAGGTCAGTGATGGCGAACCTTTTAGAGACTGAGTGCCCAAACTGCAAGCCAAAACCCACTTATGCATCGTTGAGTGCCGGGTGGGTGTGGCCCATTGGCTGGGTGTGGCCCATTGGGTGGGCATGGCTGCAGTGGTAACGGCAGACTGGGTGGGACTAAAAGTTCAATCAATCAGTTCCAACTTTGCAAGATCTTTTTTTTTCCCGCGAGAAGTTGAAATTGACTGATATTTTTTTTTGCACCCGGCGGCGGAGCCTAAAGTGAAAAGGTTTTATAAAACCCAGCTGAAGGCTTAGGACTGGGGTGACGGCGCGCGTGCCCACAGAGAGGGCTCTGAGTGCCACCTCTGGCACCCGTGCCATAGGTTCGCCACCACTGGTATAGGTAGTCCTCATTTAGTGATTACCTTGTTTGGCAGCTGTTCATAGTTACAATTGTGATGAAAAAGAAACTTTAATGTACTGATTTACATTTTTAGAATGCTCCTTTATTTTTGGTAATGGAAAATCTTTTAGCAATTTCAGGAGTTACATACAGAATCTCAGTTAGCAAAGCCAACTAACCTCAATCATTTTGACTTTTAATCTCCAGATTAGATTATAATAAGTCGACTTTGCAGAAAAGTTGAAAATTGAAATTAGCAGAAGGTACAGATGTAAAAATGCTAAATGTATATTGTTCAGGTGAAATAATTTCCAAACTATGTGTCTATTTCAAAATATTAATGCTAAATCTTAAAACCCTTTATAACTTGGGAATAAAGAACTCCTTTATTCAGATGTCCTTGTCCACTTGCTAAAATGATCTGTACACAATAACACTGACTGAATTAGACAGTAACTCTCTTCAGTTCTATTAATTAATTAATTAATTAATTAAAGTCACTCTGGAGAAAACTTTTCCAGCTACCTGAAAACTCTTGTATCCTTTTTTATTATATAATGCATTCACCTCTAAAATATCTCGATAAATATTCATATGGAGTATATATCAAAGAAAATGTAAAAAAAAATCTAATCTAATGTTTCAAGTACACTGTATACATCAAAGACACAGGGTTGGTGACTTCAGGCTAGCAAAAACCATAATTTAAATATAATACAACTGCCTTACAAGGGCATCAAGAGAACAGGCAAGTATCTGTTAATTTGGAAAGGCTGGAAGAAAAAGCTGAGAAGTCTGGGTTCCTTTTAGGTTCATATTGACTGCAAACTCCCAAAGAAAAAAAATGAAAGTTGAGCTTTCATCGAGGAGGTACCATCCTCAAGCTGATGAATGTTTTAAATGAAAAGAAGGGAAAGGAAACCCAAAGGTACTTTTTTAGGAGGCAACTGGACTTCCGTGTTTTTCTCCGAAAATGTTTCGCTTCTCATCCAAGAAGCTTCTTTAGCTCTGATGATTGGTGGGGTCAAATGGCCTCAACGACTCTCTAAAAGAATGTAAATGACCAGCTGTATGCAAGGAATATAAATCCTTTCATTCCCCACCATCCAATTAGAGCTGAAGAAGCTTCTTGGTTGAGAAGCGAAACGTCTTCAAAGAAAAACAAGGAAGTCCAGTTGCCTCCTGAAAAAGTAACTTTGGGACAACCATGACCTGGATGACTGAGAATCTCCGTATACAAGGGAAAGGAAATTTTCCTTTGTCATACTTTATTGGACAAAACCCAATCTAGGCCTTAGTTATTTTAGCAAGACCTATTTTGGAATTGCTTATAATTCAAGGTTCAGCTATATAAAGCCTATTCAGGCTAAAACCAAGAAATTCTTTAAAATTAAACTAGCTGAGGATTTAGAAACACTTATAGTCACATACAAATACTAGAAATAATTAAAAACAGAGAAGGTTTGGGCAGTAGAAGTCTGAATTATTTTACATGGAGTCACTGAGTACTTTGTACAAAGCAGGCTGGTCCTATTACAGGGCAGACATTTCAAGCTGCAAATAAAAAGGGGCAAGAAGGTGAAACAAAGTATTAGTAAACACAATTGTTCTGTTGCTGTATCAGTTTTATGTAACTAAAAGAGCAAACTCTTCTTACATGTAATGAGGAGTACTGTTCCATCTCTGTTTAGAAGTTAAAAAATGCAACTTTGTTGCAGGGAGAAAAATGTTTTACCATTCTTGTAAGGATCTTCAAATATTTAGGACTTCTATAGTCAACTGAGCAGTGATATAGTTTGATCTTAATTGAATTATGAAATGAAAGCATGAGAGATTTCAAAAGCATCCCAGATCATTGCACTGAAGTAGGCGACGCCATTTCCCATTTCCCTAAAGTATTTCCAAAGTGCAAAGCTAAAGATGTGTTCCATTTTGGTAGACATTTTATCCATCCTTCTCAGAATGGAAGTTTATAAGAAAGAAAGAAAGAAAGAAAGAAAGAAAGAAAGAAAGAAAGAAAGAAAGAAAGAAAGAAAGAAAGATTGTATAGGGACTATAAATAAAGGCAAAAAATATGTTTTGGCGACATTTATTCATGTTTTAGATCAGTGGTTCTCAACCTGTGGGTCGGGACCCCATTTGGGGTCGATCGACCATTTCACGAGGGTCGCCAAGCAAGGCTGTCTGACATTTTTTTTGTCCATTTTTTTTGTCCGCCATTTTTTTCCCCTTTTCCGGCGGGTGCCTTACCTCCCCCCTTGGGCTGGGCCAGCTGGTGGTTGGCCTGCTCCGTCTCTGCCACTTGCCAGCTACGCCTCGGCCGGCGCAGAGGGCGGAACCACGCATGCGCGGTGCTCCCGGGCAGGGAAAGTCCTCGACTTATGACCGGTTGGGTAGTCCTCGACTTACGACCGGGTTAGTCCTCGACTTACAACCGGTTGGGGTTGCGGCATTAAAAAGGTTGAGAACCACTGTTTTAGATGGAAATATTAGAAGTCCTTTCTTTTGTTATAAATATGCCTTTCCATGGACTTCCACTACTTTTGCCCAGATCTCCAATTACTAATATAATGAATTTCAAATGGAGTTCACTTTAGAGAGGCTTTGAAAATTCTAATTGGTACAAAATGCAACAGCAAAGTTTTTAAAGATATATATGAACGTTCTATAAATTTCTCCTAATTATGCATTTTTTCACCACATTGGGAAAAAGGGATATGCATTCAAAAAGATGAATGTTCATGCCCACTGCAAGCAAGGAAGTTGACAAACCATTGAGGAAATGCAACAGAACAAACCTTACTTCAAAAAGTATAACAATTTTTTGAGGAGCTGAGACAAATCCAGCTATTTTTACATGCCACAGAGAATTATTTATGTCACACCTAAACTATCTTTTACCAAATGCTGTTTTAAAGGACAATGGACTGGATTCTTTTGCACATCAACAGAACCCTGTTTTTCCTCTTCTCACACTCCCTAGGTATTTAGGAAAATCATTAGAATATTCAATAAATATGAAGAGCATAATTAATATTCCCACCTAATCTTCACTTTCTTCTTTTGGATGTCTAACACATTTGAGACAGTAATATAAATGCATGATATCCACAGCCTTCAACATTCAATTATAATGCCTATGTATACCTGTGTGCACTATGCCAGCATTCTGTGTACAATCTGAACATATCATGTCCTATATATTTATTATTATTGCCACTTGCTGGTAATACCATGGCCTAGAAAAGAAATTCTTCAATTGTTCTTATAACTTTTTTTTAACCTTTCATCCAAAAATTAATCAGTATGTTTACAGGCCATTCAAATGTGTTGCCCATATTTCTAAAACTATTCATTTTATCTTAATAAAGAAGATTAAACTGTTTTATTTGTGCCCCACTAGGCCTTGTGGAGATTATGACAAACCTCTGAAGTACTGTACTGGTTTGAAGTGACTGCACCCTTAGATTGTACCTTAATTCTGCTTGATGCATTCATTTTTAACTAACCCCTTCTTGCAATCCATTTCAGCCCCACCACAAAGTTTTTCCTGAGAACTGGGAAATCTAGAAGACTATGCCATGCAATAAATTGCAATAAGCAGCGAAATGCATGGATATTGTATGCTTTCATTTGTGTGATTTGAAAGTGCTTGCTACTGGACACAGCTGAGTAGTAAGGATCCAAAAAGACTGTTGGAGAGTAAAGAAAAGGTCCTGCTTTGCAGTTTAATTTCATTTCATAAATACTACAAAAGGTGTAAAAGAGCATTAGCTGTAATAACGGTAATAACATTATTTTGAAAATAAAGTAATTCAAACAATTAAATATTCCACTGTTTCTTTGTTAAATAATATTTCCTTTTCGAGTGAATAAATATCTCTGGGTTTCCTTTACATATAGAAGTTATGTTTAACACAGGGTTCCATAGGTTTCACTACATAAGTTCAACTACTTCGTGTATAATTAGTTTATCCCAATATTAATAAACTTCCTTTGTATGAGAGAGCAAACAAGAAAGTCTTGAAAATATGATGTTAATCAGCAGTTAATTGACTAGTTTAAAATTTAATTAGTTTTTATTAACTTTAGAATACAAAAATAAAATTTATTTAATGCTTTAGGAATGCAAGCAGTTCAGGAAATAGTTGGCTATACTGTGTTAATTTTTTAGATACAACAAATGACTATAAGTGAATATCATAGAATACACATACACATAGACAATGTTCATGCATGCATGAAAAGGGTATGTTAAGATTGGAAGGAAAAACTCTCTTATCATAAAATATTTTACTAGTACTAAAATATAATAAATTGATTTCTTTTCATAAGAACCCCCTCAAAATACTTATTAGGAAGGAAAAACTCATTTTTCTACAAATTGCTTGATAGAGTATTCTCTCTTACCTGATCTTTAATTTCAAGTTCCCTTATTGTTTTTGTCCTATACTCCCTGTGCTCCTTTTCTGCTTCATCCTTCTTCATTTTGGTCTGATTCAATTCGTAACGTATTTCTCCACACACCTGTTAGATCAAATAGATAACATCCTGCAGTTTTAGGACTCCACAAAGTAATATTTGTTTAGAGGAGAACTTTTGATGCCCTCTAGTGACTATATTTATTATTTCATCATTTGCACTGAATTCTGTAAAGTTTTTATATGGTACTCCTATTTTTAAAAATGATGCTTTAGAGCAGGGGTGTCAAACTGCCGGCCCATAGGCCGGACGCGTCACGAGGAAACCGCACCCACCCCATTGCCGGCAATGGGGGAAAAGGTCCGATACGTCGCGTGACCTCGCGTGACATTGCGAGTTTGACATGTCTGCTTTAGAGAGATGCTTTACATAGCAGCCCCAGAGCTCTTTGTCCCATTATTATTATTTTTTCATTAGTGGCTATATAGCCAGCAATTGCATTCACTGTTGTTGTTTAGGCCAAAATATATCCAACATCAATCAACTCCAGAAATGCAGAGATTATACAACAAGCATAATCCATAGCAATAAATGTCATGTATCTGATTAACGAAACACTTAAAAGGACTTTCAGGCATATTTTCTCCTAAAAGCATTTATTAAGGTTACAGAGACGTCAGTACAGTATGGTGGAAATGCTTAGGTCTGGCTTCTCTTCCGTTACGCATACATTCCAAGCATTTTTCCCTGCCTCTATTTTGGGGTCATGGTTCACATCTTCCAATTAACTTGGAAGATGTGATTTACTTCAGGTTTGGGCTATCCTTATTCTCCTCCCTTTTCCCTGTTGCCTGGTTTAACTATAAAAATACCAGACAGTTCTGCATATTGTCAAACCAAGAATATACAGTATTTGCAGCGTTGACAATAAGATTTACTTAATTAATCAGAGTTATTTTTAAGAGTAATAGAGGGAAAGAGGGGAGAACATACAGTATTCCTATTTATGAGGCAACAGGATGACATCCGATGTCACTATGTTGAAGGAATTTTATTGTAACTGGAAAGATAATGATTATATTTCAATTTCTATCCCAATGTAATTGCAACTCCTTCTCCCCCTCCCATCCTCAGCACAACAAGAAAAAAATTTCTAGGAAAAGAAAAGGTGATGGAATGGGGCACTTTTTGAAAACAAGGAGAATTCACAAATATTTCATACATCATTAAGATACATAGACTAGAATTCTCTTCTTTTTTTCTGGAAACTTGTATACTTGCACCATATAACTCTGAGGTGAACAATTTTTCTTGGGGGACCTTCCTTTTTCAGAAAAAGTATCTAAGATTTTCAGGTGACCAGATAAATGAACTGTGATCAAATCATATAGGATCGATGCAAATTGGCTACTCTTAACTTAAATTAAAGTTTATATTTTAAGGAAAGTGCATATCTTTTACCTAGACTAGTGTTTCTCAACTTTGGCAAATTTAAGATGGGTGGACTTCAGCTCCCAGAATTCTCCATGGTAGTCAGCATAGTCAACTGGGGAATTCTAAGAGTTTAAGTGCACACATTTTAAATTTGCCAAGATTGACACTGATCCAGACAATGGATAACAATAAATGGTGCCACTTAAAAAAATTCTGAGTCATCAGACTTCAAAATGTTTGAAATACTGCTGTTAGATTTGTTCTTCGCTGGAATCTTTTTCTCTTTGGTATTTCAATCATTAGAACTCCTTATACTCCATTTTCAGCAATGTTTCTCCATCACAGTAAAATAAATACTAGGAGTAATAAGAGTTAATTTTAAAAATATTAATAGGAACGCCAATAAGTAAGAAAAACTTTTCCTCACAAAATTAGCCCCTTTCATTATCAAAAAGTAGGAATCTGTAATTAGAATGTATTAGGATAGGAAGGCTACCCTTACTAGAGATAAATAAACTTTACCTCTAGTAAGAGCTATAAATCAATAAAGTAGATGTGCATCATAATAATTATAATAATTAATCTGTAATTGCACACAATGAAAATGATCCTACATTTTTAATCTCCAAGTAAAAGGAATTTAAGAAATTTGTTTGAAATATAACTTTTACACATGTTAATGCTAAAGCAAATAGAGGAATACAGTAAACTAAAAAAATGTGCATTGCAATGTACTGCAGTCAACATTCTGCTTTGCTGTCAATCCAGCTTGTAACAATATACCAGAACCAACATCCAGATGAAGGATCTATCAGGACAGACTCTGACATGGGCTGTAAGCTGATACTGACTTTGTTTCAGCAACCAGTTTCTTGAAATTGAAGACTTTTGGAGCTGGACTCTTATTCAGCTAGAGACCACATAAAATATTGTAATGCTACTTTACTGACAATAAGTTTAGGTTTTTAGTTTTTATTTGGCACTTACTGGCAAGGCTATTTATTGACTGAACTTACTGTAAATCCTTTGCTACTTCTCCTTTGTGCTGGCAAAGCTCATCTGCCCTCGCTGCATCAGTTATTTATTTAGATATCAAATTTATTTGCTGCAGTTCAAACAAGTCTAAGCTAGTGAAAACTGCCTCTTCTGTATTTTCAAAAACTATTCTTACCTTATTGATCTCCATTTCACGAGAAGCACGGTGGTTCTGAGCTTCTTCCAGCTGATTAGTGAGGGAGAGCTTTTCCCTTGTAATCCTGTCAATCTGAGACTCCAGACCAGCAACATTCTGAGATAAAGACATTACCTGAAATAACATTTCCAGGCAAAAGATTATGTAGATATCTCCACTGGTGGAGAAAGATTGACTTCGCTTCTAAAAGTAGGCAAACAAGTTGCAACTCGTATATTCCTTCCATCAAATGCCTGTAGGAGGCCTAAATTGATGATAATGCAATCCTTTATTTAGCTATTATTATTTTGCAGTTTGACATGATTAGGTCAACTGCTCTCCCTGAGAAAGTTTCTGATAAATTCATTAAAAATGAAATCGGAAATCATTATTTTATTGGGATTGCCAGAATTTTACCGGTTGTATAAACAACAAAATGAATACCCTGCAGAACATATCGAAACTTCTCAAAAGTTGGGGGTCATCTTATACGCCCAGTCGTGTTATACGCCAGAAAATACGATACTCTATGAACACTGTCAAACTCACCTTCTAAAACTCCTGTCTTGGCTGGTTCAAATTGAAGTAATTTAGACAATACTGATGGACTCAAAGCATTTTGCTTCACATAAATTTTGGCATTAAAACTAGAATTCTAAAAAGTAGCCTGTTTGCAACAACTCTCAATTGTCAGGGAGACATAGCAAGAGCACTTAGATTTATATACCACCTCACAGTGCTTTATAGCCCTCTCTAAGCGGTTTACAAAGTCAGCCTATTGCCCCCAACAATCTGGGTCTTCATTTTACTGACCTTGGAAGGATGGAAGTCTGAATCAACCTTGAGCCCACTCAAGAGTTGAACTCCTGGCAATGATCAGTGAGTTAGCCTGTAGTGATGTATTCTAACCATTGTGCCACCACATGAAGTCATCATATTACTGCTTTAATTGTAATAAACCCCTTGAACATTTCTTCTAATTTCTATAGAATAAAAATATTTCTATTTTTTCCACTGTGCTTTTTCACTACATTTAAACTTTTCTTACTCTTATATAGTCATTAGTGTTCCTCCAGTGTTCCTCCCCATATTCAGTAGATGTTATTTACTGTCTATTGTTTTTGAAGCTAGAGACTAATTTTAAATTTTTTTAAATGCTGTATTTGAGGGCTACAAGTTTTGATAGATAATAAGGCTGGGATTTTCAGCATTTTTCCAACTTTTGTTCCTGTTGTTAAGTTGCATGTATACAATACGCCTGTGCCATTGAATTTCAGTAGAAGAAATCTGAGAAGAGTTCTGAAGTCAAATTTTTAAGTTATTTCTCTTGCCTATCCAATTATCAAATTTCTAGGCTTATTCCAATTTCAATTTCAAAATGACTCTTGGCCACTCACCATGGATTAGCAAATGAGCAGAATGACCAAGCAAATTCTTCTACCATAAAGCAAATCAACTATTTTACATGAATTTAAAGACACCTTACATTTATTTTATTTTTTCCCATTGTTTTTAAGTTTACATGCCTCTTTTGCTATCTGTTCCCTATCATAATGCAAATCCGAGAAAACATATCCAAATTAATGAGTAAGGATTACATATTCCTCAAATAATAAAACAATAGCAGTGGTAACTTTGTATATTCCATGCTTTATTTAAAACTTCCTTAAACCATTTCATAGAAACAAATTTGTATACAGGAAATTTAGATATGCATAAGAATATTTGGGAGCTAAGCGAAAGCTATTTAAACATATAATGAAATAGCTCAAGTGTTTAGAACAGTGTTTTTTCTATTTTTTAATTTTTTAGAATGGCATAAGTACACATTATTTCCAACAAGAATTCATAAATGTAATACCTGTTTAAAAACAACAACCAGATATCAAAATTGCTTGTGCTTCAAAGTAATTAAAAGATAGGAAAATACCAGTGATGATAGGTTTTCTTTTTCTTTCTTCATTTCTTCACGAACTGCTTCTCGCTCCCCAGCTCTCTTATCTAGCTGAAGTGCTAACTCTTTTTCAAGGCGATCTTTCTGTCTCTCCATTTCATTTTTAAGCTGTTCACATTGAACTAAAGCCTGTGGAGATGATGAAGACACTCTAATATTTGTAGAACCAAATTATATACTCTTTTAATATAAGGCAAACATTAAATTTTGGGGAAAAATGAAATTAAAAAATTATATAAGACCGTTTTAAGTATGCTCTCACTAATATATAAATGTGCATACTGTATATAAGTTTATAAGTATACAATATACTTTCAATATCCACAAAACAATTTGTCACTCATAAGTGAATGTTGAAAGGATAGATTATTACTATAGGTAGTCCTCGACTTACAATAACTGAGCCCAACATTTCTGTTGTTAAGTGAGATAGTTGTTAAATGAATCACGGCAGTTGCAAAGTTAGTAACCTGGTTGTTAAGTGAATCTGGCTTCCCCATTTATTTTGCTTGTCAAAAAGTCACAAAAGGTGATCACATGACCGTGGGACGCAGCAACGGTCATAAGTATGAACGAGTTGCCAAGTATCTGAATTTTGATCACATGATCATGGGGAGGCTGCAAAGGTTGTAAGTGTGAAAAATGGTCATAAGTTACTTTTTTCGGTGCCGTTGTAACTTTGAACTGTCACTAAATGAGCTGTTTTATGTCGAGGACTACCTGTACTTTCAAAGAAATTTAATTCCGTGATAATGCTGGCGGTTTCTGTGCTAAATACCTATTCACATTTCACCAGAAATATTCTGATTTCACATTCTGAAGTATATATATCAGATAATGACAAGAAATAAAGGGGCATATTTTTAAATACAGATGTGAATGTACTTTATCTCATCTTCTCATCATACTTCTCAAGCATATATTTTGTTCTAATCCGAGACCAAATTTATAAAATTACTCAATTTAAATGTTATTTTCTCATGTGACATTAGTATTTTAAATGAAATATTATTAGTTAGGCAATTATTTCTCAGGTCCTGTTTGAAACATAATCAGCCTTAAAAGAAAGCAAATTTATTCTTCTTGTTTGACAGTAAAGAAATGCTGATGAAAGAAATGATCCTCAATGAAATGCTGCTCTCATTAACCATTAACTAGTCATTAAGAGACCTTACAGCCATTGTTTTTTATATTTTGATTTTTCAAGACTTAATCTGTAAAAATATATTTAATATTATTGATGTATTTTCTAGGCTTTTATCCCAATCTTCCTCCAGGAGCAAAAGTGACATACAAAGCATGCTTCCCTCCAATTTTCCCCTACAACAACAACCCTGTGTGGTAAGTTAAGGTGTCAGAGAATGTGTGTGCTGAGGTGATGAAATTTCCATGGCTGACAGTGAATCAGAACCAGTCAAACACCTTAGCAAGCATGCCACAACAGCTTTCAGATTTTACAGATTCAGTGCAAACCTTTAAACCTACACAGCCATTCAGTAGTTTTTCAACAATCACATTTTGTTTTCTTTATTGATATTAAAACATGACATTTGATAGGTAGATAATTGCTACCTTAAAAACATAAATTTTATAAATTCTATAAATTTTTGTTTGTTTGTCTGTTTGTTTGTTTGTCGTCTACAGGTACTAATTGAATATAAATTATTCTAGGCCTAGTGATTCTAGTTTATACAAATATGCAGGCTCAACTCTGAAAATGAAGAATACATGCACAAGCACACTGCTTACACAGGTGCAGTGCTTACCGGAATAACTTTCTCTGCATGTGGCATCTTCAGCAATTCTTGTTAAAGTGATAGGAATAAGAAATTTTATTATTTTATAGAACATTGTAAAACACTACAAAACCTCTGGTTTGTCGCTAACAGACTAATTGGCTACATCCTGAAATTATTGAAGTTAATAATGATATTGTCGTATCACTATTCCTAGAACTGAAGCTAACTGGATTCTTTCAGAGTATACCTGAATTCCATTTGCACAATAGTTTGGTCCCTTAGAAAAATAATGTTTGTTTCCAACGCAAATTCCTTTCAGCTAGATGCAATATATTAATTACACAGCAGATGGCAGTAGTTACCAAGGTAATAAATCTAAAGCAGGCAACATCTAAAATAAGCTTTTTAACTTACATTAGAAAAGCTCTTTGATACTGTTTACATAGCACTTCATTTTCAGTGCAAGGTATGAAAACTTAGTTCTTGAAACTGAGGAGAGAGAAAATTCACTTCTAGGCTAATGGGTCACTGACAATAAAAAACAATGCAGCTATTCCAACTCTTCCTCTTTCTGACAAATCATAAATGGGAAGGAGAAGGAGTCAGGGAAAAAGGGATTTCAGCATATCTGAGACTTAGCTCATGCCATTCAACTTACTGGGTCAACGCTAATATTGAATATTCTTGCTTTGACAAAATATGCAGAACTGTCTGGTACTTTTAGAGTTAATTCAGATGAGAATGAGAGAGGAGAGAAAAGCACTCGGAAGGGAACATGAATCTTTGCCCTCCAGGTTAATTAGAAGATGTGAATCATGACCCCAAAATAGGGGAGGGGAAATGCCTGGAATGTTATGTGCAAAGGAAGGGAAATTCAGATCTTGGCATTCTCCATGCGGTGCTGACACTCCTTTACACTAATAACGGCTTTTTAGGTTAAAAAATGCCTGAAAGTTCTTTGAAGCGTTTCATTAGTCAGACACATGACATACTGGCCATTACATAAACTGTATGAATCCAGGTAGTTTTTGACTTATGACAGTTGGGACCAGAATTTCCATTGATTAAGTAAGGTGGTTGTTAAGTGAGACTGATTTTTGCCATAGTTGTTAAGTGAATCACTGCCGTTAAGCAAATCAAGTGGTCATTAAGGGAATCTAGCTTTCCCCATTGACTTTGCATATCAAACGTTGGCTGGAAAAGTCACAAATGGTGATCACATGGTCCTGGGACCATCAGAAGTTTGATCACGTGATTGTGGGGATGCTGTGTGACAGTTGTAAGTCACTTGTATCAGTGCCGCTGTAACTTCGAACAGTTGCTAAATGATTTGTAAGTCGAGAACTATTTCTAAATACCTGGATTTGTCTTAATTGCCTTCCAATCAGTTTTTTATTATGGGCCCCGATTCCTTGTTCATTTTCTCCATGGCTTGCATGAGTTCATCCAGTTCAATCACATCTACACCATTCACATATTTTCCAAACTAAAGGTCTCCCTGGATCAAGTTTGGTTACCCTTTTCTGCACTTTTTCTAGTTCTACTATTTACTTTTTGAAGTGCAGCAACCAGAACCATACGTTGTAATTTAGATATGACTAAACCACATATTTTAAAGGGCATTACAATGTTTGTTTTTATTAAAACAATGAGCCATCCAACTCCTCAGTGACTTTTGGATAAAAAGAACATCTATTCTAAAATGATGGAATATAGAGGACCTGTCAGCCTTATCATGCACACCTAACAGCAGCCCAACCAGATAAGCTAATTCTAGTGAATCGTAAATCTACACTACAAATCTTGCCAGTGTGAAAGTACAAATCACCCAGTGTCTCTTTTCAGCCTATGAAACAAGAAGGGTCCCTTCTTAGCCTCTCTCTCCCACCCTGCTGAAATCTCAGAAAGAGATGATTTAAAGGAAAGGCCTTTAGCCAGTTCTTGAGGGATGGGGTGTTCCTGCACCCAAAATCTCACTTTGGTTGGGAGTACATGCAGAAACAGTTTTAAAATTACTTCTTCTATCACTTTTTTCTTTGCTCCTTTGAGCAAAGAATCTGGCCACAACCATTTTCTACCTAGGTGTAGCCCACAATTCATAAAACCCTTCATGTCTATCGTACCCAAACCGCTACCTATAGGTATAGGGAGTTACATTAAACCTAAATAGGATTATCTCTTTAACATGGTAAAAGATCATGGATGAGGAATGAGAGGTGCATTTATGGATAGAGCATTTCAAACATTTATTTGAAAGTCAGTCTAATAATAGAAAGGAGTTTAGGCAGCAAAGTAATTTTTGTTTAGTACATGGACCACTTAGTACTATTCACCAAACATCATCAAAGATATTAATGGATTAGGACAGAGTCCATTAAATCTAGGATTCAAAGTGTAAAGTAGCCAGCAAGATGCCTCTCAAAAGCACATAAACAAAGCATTACTTTCAGCCTTCTTGCATATTGTAAATGGTAGACACAATTTCAGATACCTAAACCATTGTGTCTTTGCACAATTTTACCTTGGTTCTTTCCAAATTAGCTTCTTCAGTCATGTGTACTGCTTGTTTCACTTGTTCATAAGCTTTGCATTCCCTCTGTTGCATTTCATTTAAGTTTATTCTTATTGTAGAAAGGGCTGCCATTAACTCATCTCTCTCTCTTTAAAAAAGAGAAAAGAAAGATCAATATATTAGATAGGTAGGAGATACTTCATCAAGATAAAGAGCAACATTAACATTTAGTAACATTTCTAAGCTATTATATAGAAGAAATTGCATTAGATTTATACCAGTGTTTTGTTTGTTTTTTGTTTTTTTTACAAAAGATAGGCATAGTCTGCCACATCTTTACATGTTAAGTTGTAAATTAGCAAAAATTCTACAATAAATAGTTTAGATTCCAGATCAGGAAGGGATAACCTGGGCATAGCTACAGCACCCTTCCAAAGAACTCTCCCCCATCAATTGCTGCTGAAAGTAATATGGCCAAATTAATTCTCAGCTGCTTTTTGGATGGAAGGACAGTTTAAGGGTAGAGAAGGAAGAAATTTGTCTCCTAGAAGGTTCCTACTCCCATGTCCATCAAAACCAAATAGAAAAATATTAGTCAGAAAAAATATAGCTCTATTATTTTCAATGATTTATAGCATGATCAGAAAGCTTCCTATAAACTTGCAGATTTTCATAAATTCCAGCCCCCAAGCCCTCAAAGATTGCCTAAAATAAGGAGGAATAAATAATACATATGTGCAGGATCCAATCTGGGTCGGTCACTGGGACCAGAAATATAGACTTCCGAGCTTTTGGACCAATTTCTGACCTATCCTTAGGGAATTCTCTCTACCGGAATGTGTGCTTTGGGCTATTCTATGTGTCTTATTTATCTGGTGCTTGGTTGGGTGTGGCTTCCTGGGACATGTATATTTGCCTTTGTTTGTAATACATATATGGCAGACAAATTATTTGTACAGCTGTGGTTATCGTCAATTACTTATAACTCTGATTTCAATTGTTAAATATGATGGTTAGAAAATAGAGAAAATGAAACTGGGGCAGATCCTCATTCCGTTGGTAAAATCCTATTGTTTATTTCTGAATCACCTTTTTTGCAATCAATGATTCCCATTTTTTAATCACATATACATGTAAACATACCATTTGTAAAGTATGGATTGGACAAACTTAATGTACAAAAAAGATAAGTGGAATTATTTATATTTACTTGATGGCTCCATTCATTCTGTTGGGAATGTAGATAAATACTGAGCCTTTTTTAGGTTCTTACTAAATAGAAGTGCTGTATAAAAACTTCTTGTTCTGTTAAAGGAAAATGGAAGCCATATGTGAAATGGAGCTTAGAGACTCATTTAAAAACCATTCCACAATCAAATAAAGCACTCTATTAAGAGTCTACAGTGGGTGGCTGCTGAGCAGGAAGATACTCTTAAGAGGAATAATGCTTTTGTAAAGATTCCTTACAATTGCACTAAAAATACCGATTTTCATGAAATACTTTGTTACAATTGTTATACTCTGTGGGTTTTTAAAAAAAATTCAGAACTATCCATCTGCTTACTTTGTTAGTCTTTCAATGGTTTGCATATGGACATTTGAATGAGTCTGGGAAAGAACCGCTTCATGCTGTGCACAATTTAAGCAAAGACCACCAGGCCTATTAGAACTATTTGCTGCATTGATCAAATGCTGATGTTTTAATCTTCCACTCAGCTCTTCACAGTTTTTTTGGGACTCTGATAAAGCTTTTCTGCAACAATAACAACATAAAAGCATTATAAACAGCATACAAGATTGGAATACAATAATGATTGGAAAGCAACCTAACAACTTTTTTCTTACTGCTTTAAACTCTCTAAAAGACCACAGATTTGTGCCACATTAAAGAAGGGGCGTTGGTCTTACCTGAACGCCATTTCTCAGCATGATGATGGATAATCCACTTGATTGGGTTTCCTGAAGTCCCTTGTACCCAATAAGACTAAGTCTGAGATAGCCACGCCTCCTGCCTGGCCGCACATGCCCAGTTCTGACGGAGGCGAAGCAACAGACAAAGTCAGGCGTGTTGTTCTCCAGACCCCTAT